TGGACTTGTTGATACTACGCCAGATAGATCTCGCAGACATATCGTGCTCCACTATTAGACCTAGTGGATCGTAGAAGCTGCCAGTACCGCACAAGACTGTCGCTTAGTCATAGGATTCCCTTGAAGTTGACCACCACTGAAAGTAGGGTAGAAGGAATCCTCGACAGCAGAATAGTCGTAACCAAGTAGATGGCGTCGTTCTTCGACATCGTTGACCATTACAGGCTCCCAACTATTAAAACGCTTCTTAGGTTCAATTACAAAGTCGTGACCATTAGAGATATAGGTAATGAAGTCATAGCTTGATGTAACTCTAGATTTGTTAGACCCACCGGTATAGACATCATCGACAAACTTGATCAGTGTGATCTCCTTGGGGACCGGTGGACAACCCTGTAGATAAGAGAAGGCCTCAGCGCTAGATCTCAGTAGACAACGCTCAACCAAATGAGGCTCAATATCACATAGACGAATAACAGGAGCTTCAACTGTAGAAGCCAGCTTGGACAATGCCTTGATCTCATTAATCACATCTTCCATAGAAGCGTCAAGTTGATTAGGTGCTGCTGTGGAGCCAAAGGCTACACGGGACCATAGAACAATGTATGGTCCGATACAAGTGTAGCCAACATACGGAACATCCTTGATGCTAGAGGACAATCTACAGAATGCCTTAGATAGATCTCCAGCTATGAAATACTCATAGGATCGAATAGCAAGAAGGCAACCGGCTAGAGAGTTCTGAGGATAGCCACCACGATTAGAGGAGCGGTTTAGGTCTCTAAAGTCGAACACCACCCTACACGGTGTAGTAGGATGTAGATGGCGATACACTAGATGTGAAGGAGTGTAATGTTCCGCCAGAGGAACAGGAGAACCCTCATTGACCGTACCCTTGACCAACGTAGAGCAAGCTGCTTGACACATAGCTCTAGTTGGCTTCTTCAAACCAGTTGACCGTAGATCACAGACAATCGAACAAAAACCCCTATCGACAAGTTGTGAAAGGGCATCCTCAAACATAGATTGCTGTTTAGAATCTAGACGAGCTATAGAGGCTAGACCACGTT